CGTACCGGGTGACTCTCACTTGCGTACACGGCTTCTTGGCGAGTTCCACAATGCTCCCGCCACCGGACACTTTGGAGTCAATCCCACGATTGGCCGACTTCGGGAGCGATTTTGGTGGCCCGACCTTCTCGGCAACGTCACACGCTATTGCGAGTCATGTAAGGTTTGCTGACGCTGCAAATCCCGCAACCATCGTCCGTACGACGAGTAGCGACCGTTATCGGTCCCCTTGCGGTGAAGGGAAGCGATTTCCATGGACATTACCGGTCCGTTCCCCAAGCACAAGACCGGAGTGGATGGGATTCTCTCGGTGGTCGACCGACTCACCAAGTTCGCCATGTTTTTCCCTTGCCGCTATCATTCCAAGGCACCGGAGTTGGTCGCGGTTCTTTACGCCGGTTGGATTCGAACCAAGGGTTACTTCAAGGAAATTGTCTACGACTGCGACACTCGGTTCATGTCCGATTTTTGGTTGGCGCTCATCAAACGATGTGGCTCACCTCTCAAGCCAAGCTCGGCTCGCCACCCCCAAACCGATGGCCAAACTGAGAGGGTGCATCAGACCGCACAAGTTCTCCTTCGCACTCTCATCCGCCCCGACCAAAAGGATTGGGTTGAGCGGCTGTCGGATGTCGAGTTGGCATACAATTTAACCACCCACCCGGCTATCAGGATGTCGCCCTTCGAGTTTGAACACGGCTCGCCGATCACTTCACCGTTGGACACAATCATTCCACGAACAGCCGAGAGCGACGACCATCTTTTTTTCTTGCATCGCATGCAAGAGCTACTTGTCAACGCACGCGACCAGATGACTAAGACGCAGCAACGCATGAGCCAATAGGCCAATTGCCAGCGTCTTCCTTGTGCCCATTCCGCGTCGGCGGTCTCGTTTGGGTTTCCGCCGCGGAATTAAGCCTTGAACAAGACATCTCTCGCAAGCTCCTCCCGAAATGGATGGGGCCTTGGCCGATCGTGGCACCCGCTGGGGATGCACCCGAAGGACCTTCCTTCACCATTCAGGTGCCCGCCCACTTGCCCGTCTACCCGGTCTTTCATTGCTCCAAGTTGGCTCTTCACACGCCAGCGGAACATGACGATTTTCCCGGGCGGCGATCGCAAGACCCACCCTCTATGAACGGTTTTCAATAGGTCGGCGACATCATCTCCCAGGGACGCTACAGCAACAGGCCAACCGAGTACTTGGTACACTTTGCACGCTGCACTCACAAAGTTAACCGTTGGTTAACCCGTGCGGAACTCCAAGCAACAGCTTCGGATCTTCTCGCATGCTACGAACGCAAGATGCAAGGCAAGCCGGTATCTTCGGCTCCACGTCGCACCCGCATCCACGTTCCACCTTCAGATCGTCAGCTTCGCCCTCGCCCCGGCTTGACTTCATAAGGRGGGGGGGGGGGGGTTACATGCTGCGCCTGCAATAAGCTGCACGGGCCACTTTCTGGCCAGAGGGCCTACAGGCCCCGTGTCGTTTCAGCCTGAAAGCCTGAAAACAAGGGCCTACAGGCCCTATGTCGTTTCAAGCTAAATCAGGGCCTTTCCGGCCTTGAGTGTTTTCAGCCTGAAACTGAGGGCTATTTTCAGGCCCTCATCGGACCGACCCGCCCTGAAACTCAGGCACCAAACCAAGGTTTTAGCACAGGCCAGTTTGGGCCTATTTTCAAGACAACCCCTGGTTGAGGTTCAACGCCAGTGTCTGGCACATTTCGCCATTGGCAAGAGCAGCCTCCTAGACGGGCCAGCACTATATAGGACTGGCCCGCTCTGCAGGCTGCACGTAGTTCCTAGGTACTTCCCAGACACTTCACGTGCAGTTCAAGAGGGAGGAGGTAGTCTTAAGGATTCGACAGCAACACTCAGGAGGAGCGCTGCAAGAGTAGTTGTAGCGCTAGCAATAGTCTTCAGCGTTGGGCGCTAATAGCGTTGGCAATAGTTTTCAGTGCTGGGCGCCATAGGAGCTAGAGCAGTATGAGAGAGAGAGAGATTGGGCGGGGGCCAGGGATACTTACCTGCAGTGCCATAGCTCCAGCTTCGCCTTTGAGGTACCTGCAGTTCAAGAGGGAGGAGGTAGTCTTAAGGATTCGACATCAACACTCTGGAGGAGCGCTGCAACAGTAGTTGTAGCGCTAGCAATAGTCTTCAGCGTTGGGCGCTAATAGCGTTGGCAGTAGTTTTCAGTGTTGGGCGCCATAGGAGCTAGAGCAGTATGAGAGACAGAGAGATTGGGCGGGGGCCAGGGATACTTACCTGCAGTGCCATAGCTCCAGCTTCGCCTTCGAGGTACCTGCAGCACAGCGCCATCTCCACAGGTTAGTACCTGGCATATGAGAGAGAGAGAGTTCATCTTCTTCCTCTTCTCAGTCCACCATCTCCCTCTCACCCTCTCGCTACCTGACTTCACTGCATCAGCAGACTATGAGATAGCGGGCTTGGTGACATTTGGATCCAGACTCGACATTGGGCTTCAAACATTTTGACGAGGGATTATTTGGGACTTCTAAGAAAGACTTGGTATTGACGACATTCCCATTTCTCCCCCTCTTCTTCGTACGTTCCCCTCCTCTTCGTCTATGCATGATCTGGACCCGGCGCCTTCTTTCGGTCTATAGCGCCAGACCCCTTCACACCTTGTGATGAGAATGATGTATGTTGGGTCTGTGTTGCAACGTTGATTGGGCTAGTCATTGGTATCCTAGCATTTGTGTTTGATTGTGAAAAAAGGCAAGCACGCGCGATTGAAAAAAAGAGCATTTGTGTTTGATTGTGAAAAAAGGCACTCCTCCTCCTCCCCCTCCTCCTCCGCCAAACAACGTGACAAAGATCCCGCCATAGCCCCGCTTCCGCTCGTTCTCCTGCTGCTCCTCCCACTCCTCCTCCTCCTCCTTCTCCCGCTCTCGCCCCTATTGCTTCTCCTTCYCCCGCTGCTTCCGCTGCTCTTTCCCCCGTTCCTCCTGCCGCTCCTTCTCCCGCTTGTCCTCCTGCTCCTCCCACTTCTCCTCCTCCACCTATATCTCCTCCTGCCGCTCCTTCTCCCGCTGCTTCCCCTGCTCTTTCCCCCGTTCCTCCTGCCGCTCCTTCTCCCGCTCGTCCTCCTGCTCCTCCCGCTTCTCCTCCTCCACCTATATCTCCTCCCCCTCCTCCGGCTCCCGCGTGTTCGTTAACCTTCTCCCCGTTTCCCCTCCTGCCCCCCC